TTATGAAAAGCACGTTAAGTCAGTCTCATTTTTATTTTATTCAATAAAAAAAATTAAACTTATTGATTGGATTATACAGGTGAAAACATGTTTCGCCAAACGCACTTTTTAAAAGTGTGGTTGGTACTTGGTAGTAAATGTTGTATCTTACGTGACAAAATTTTGTATTATTTTTGTGAATAATTTTAAGATGATGTTATTTTCATAAACAATTTTAAGATATTGTTAATTTTCATAAAATATGTTAAAAATAATATATTTAAATTTTAAAGTGTATTTTTACTATTTTGTCTTCATCTTCTTTCTGTCCAACTTTGACACTTTCTCGTATTGAAAATATCGAATTGGATTGATTAGTATAATTTAATAAAATAATTAAGTAATGCTGGCTATTCCCTACTCCATACAATACGCTATCGTCTTCTCCTAGTGACATTAAATCGTAACGAACGAAGCTAACTAAGACTATTCGAGCACGTGATTAAATGAAAAATATACGCGTAAATTTGTTTAGTTTTTCACGTAAAACTTGCATTATCGTCTGTTTAGCCATTTTCCAAAACGACGAGTTGCGGTTTAAAAATATAAGACTCATTCAAGTATTTCGATATAATTGATTAAATTAAATATAAATTTTAAAAAATATATATAAATGAGGATTAGGGTCAACTGGAAAATTCCGAGTTAGGCAAGATTCGTATTATATGTGGATTTAATTATCAATCCAAAATGCACCCGCCATATATTTAAAAAATAAATAAATCAAGCAATCCATGTCTGTATCACGCGTGTGTCGGCAGATTAGTCAAGAATTGAATTCCTCAAGTCCTTTTTTTTCTTTCTCTAAAGTCATCTTTAATCTTAATTGATTGGATTTTCCTTCGGTTAATATATATATAAAAAAATCGAATGCATATTTCATGCCACATAAGATAAAAACAAAAGGAGGATATTATAGCTTGAGTATCATTTGAACATTAAATTAAGGCTTGTTAAATAAGAAAACAAAACTCGAAATTTAGATATTTAAACCCTTATATTTATATTAAAATTATATAATTTGATCAAATACATATTTTTATTTCATTCAATACATATTCGATACTATTGTAATATTCGTTTCATAATTAAATTATTTTCAATACAATTAAACCAAAAACTAAATATTTGGTCTGTTTGTTTAAAATTACTTGCTTTTAATCTTAAAAGGACTTTTGAAAAATGAAAAACATTAAAAAATTATAAACAATGATAGCCAAAATGGAATCCAATTCCTCAATAAAAAAATCTTGGGGTAGGCGCATGGAATTTCATTCTCTGAGTTCCAGTCTGTCCAGAAGTGTAAATTAAATTAAATAGTATAATGATACATTTAGAAATTAAAAAAATATATATTTAGAATCTTATAATAATCTATCACCATTTCATTCATTAACATATTATATGTATACATACATTAAATATTAATTTAAAAATTAATAAATATATTAACACGTTATCCAAAATCTAATGCGAAGGAGATAGATCCAAAACGTAGGAAAGGGAAGAAACGTGGCAAGGAATAGGATTTATCTAACAGACAAAAGCAAATGATGTAATTAAACTAACATCATGGCTTAATAAGCCGCCACCTTTCCCCATACGTAGGAGAGAAAAAAAATCTTTAGTCAAAACGATAGCCAATCATCTTCAACATTCCCCACCAATAGCTGCCACTTTCCACTTTCCATGGGATTTTGGGACCTTTCCAAAACCAACTCATTCCCCCACGCCATGGTTTTCAGAACCGGACCGGTTAGTGAACCGGTCATATTATCGGTTCACTGGTTCAATCGGTTGAATCGGTCGACCGGTCGAAAGAATCGGACGACGTCATAATTATTTAAAAAATTAAATAAAAATACTAAAAATATTTAATAAAAAATAATTTTTATATTACAAGTCATATTCAAAGCAAGTCATAACATATATAAGTTAAAAACCATAACATCAAGTGAAACAAAATAATTCAAATTAACTACAACATAATATTTAAGGTAAAACATATTAAATAATAAATATAATTATATAACTATAATTAAAAAATAAATTTGAAGTTAAAAAATCATAACAAAATGATATTGTTTGGTTTAATTTTTTTTAAATCAATCTCACATGGCTAAGAAACATAGAATAGCATCCCAAAAGTCTAAAGAGTAAAAATATGAGAACAAATCAATCTCACATTGCTAAGAAACATAGAAGCGCATCACAACTAACTTCTATAAATAATAGCGGTAATTTGACATTCAAAATCATGAAGCCTTTTGGTGAGCATTGAGTGAACTATTCTTTCACTTCAATCAAACTCGAATTTTAGGCTTCAATTGAGCTTCTAATTTTTTTTAGAATTCAAGCCTTTTTGAGTTCAAGTTTCAATATTATATTTCGAGTTTGAGTTGAACTTGATAATTTTTAGCTTGTGAGTTTGAGTTGAATTGAGCTTACTTTTAAAGTTTTCAAGTTCGAGTCGAGCTCAGCAATACTCAAGTTCGACTTGGCTCGTTTAACAAACGACGTTGTTTGGTTTAATTTTTTTTAAAAAAAAAAAAATCCTTGTTTTTCCCGTTTTTCCTGGTTTTCAGCCGATCCGGTTCGAACGGTTCATCGGTTCTGACCGGTTCACTAATAGCGGTTCAACCGATTTAGATTAAACCGGACTAAACAACGATTTCAGTTGAATCGGTTGAACCGACTAGTCCGATTTTCAAAAAAGAGCGCCCACGCACGACCATCCATATAAACATTTTTTAAATATATAATTTTATGTTAGATCATATATTTATTTTTAAAATAAAAAAATGAATTATTTTCCACACAAATCCTGCATCCATAAAACCCCAGCATTCCTCCCTCTCAAAAATTTCAATTCTTTCTTCCTGTTTTGTGTGTTTGATTTTGCCTTCCAAAACCAAACTTTGATAACTCCTAAACCCTCTCTTTTTCGGAGCTAATAACTTAATTACTTGGGGAAATTAAAACATGAAACAGCAGCATTCAAGTTTGCCTCCAGGGTTTAGATTCCACCCTACAGATGAAGAGCTCGTCCTTCATTATCTAATGAAGAAACTCAGTTCCTCACCTTTCCCCGCTTCCATCATCGCCGATGTCGATATCTACAAGTTCGATCCTTGGGACTTACCAGGTGAGTCTTCCTTTAACAACCCTTTTTAACGTTATCATCTAAGTAATCATTTCTGAACTTGTTTTAATGTGGTAATAATGTTATGTCTTATATCTTGTTTCATGTTGTTTTTCATCAGACAAGTCTGTGTTTGGTGAAAAAGAATGGTACTTTTTCAGCCCCAGGGACCGAAAGTACCCTAATGGTGCAAGGCCGAACAGGGCAGCTGGATCTGGGTATTGGAAAGCAACTGGGACAGATAAGATTATAGTTACATCTTCAATGATAACTGGAAGGGGTGAAGTGCATTCGAATATCGGTGTAAAGAAAGCTTTGGTGTTCTACAAAGGAAGGCCTCCGAAGGGGATAAAAACAAACTGGATCATGCATGAGTATAGACTTTCACAAAGCCCTAACTCTAACTACAACAGTAGACCATTAGGTCTAAAGATTGCTCCATGAGGGTAAGAGCCTCTTCTTAAACACCGCAAATCATTGCATTTTACATAGTGACTTGACTCCTCAATTTTCTATATTTGCCGTGGATTTTAGTTGGATGATTGGGTTCTTTGCCGCATCTACAAGAAATCCCATGCTTTGTCTTCGACATCAATAGCAGAAGCAAATGATCAAGTCCAAGAGGAAGATGAAGCAGAACAGTTCATTCAAGATGCCCTTTTACCAGCCTTGGAAAGTCCTTCAACCGACAACAATAATACTATTAGCCTTCGTCCCCAGAAATCATGTTCTTTCTCCAATCTGTTAAATGCCACCGACTACTCGATGCTCAGTAGTTTTCTTGCAGATAATCAGTGCGACATAACTGGATATGAATCTTCGCCGTTCAGCTTTCGGAACATCGAACAGACACCGGCCGCCGGTGACAGCAGGTTGCTCCAAATGGAAAACAAAGTCAAGCGCCAATATTCAAGCATTGATGAGGATTACTTGGAGCCATCAAAGAAACATATCGGTTCTTGCAGTGACGCTAAGAGCACCGGCCAATCTGATTTGACTCGATACAAATTAGTAAACCAGCCATTTTTCAACCGTAGTTTACTTCCAAATCATCATTTTCATTTCCAAGGATAGAAAAAAAAGATTTGTCAGAGATTGAACATGTGTGATTTTGTATTGGAAACAAATGTGAAAACTTGAGTAGAAATATTTGAAGTATTTGAAAATGTATCAAATTTTTGTAGAAAACTTATATCATATTCGCACTTTGTAAATAACGTATTTGAAGGTGAAGGTTCTTCTTACACTCGGGTATAAGCATCTGTCACATGTTATATAGTTGAGCACAATTTTTTTCAAGGTTAAACTAAAATTCAAGTATGTATTAATCATATAATTTCATTAATTTTACAAATAATTTTAATTATAACATGATGAAAATAATTTATGATCAACTATTTGATCATTCATTAATAAACATATGTTAATTTTATATACAATAAACATTTGTTGAGCATAATATTAATGGTTTAATATTTATATTGTAATAAAATTAAAAAAAATTAATATTGATTTTATAATTTTTAAAAGTTTAATGTTAAATAAAATATTTTAAGGTAATTTAGTGAGATTTTGAGATAGTTTAACAACAAAAACACGGGTTGTTCTCCATTTTTCATTGATTGGCTCAATAAAATTTTCCAGAAATTCCTGTTTTTATATGTTACAGTTATTAATAAATCCAAATTTTCCCTTCAAATATTTCCAAAAATTTGGATTTCTTTAAGAATCATAAACAATGATACAATAAACAGAGCTTTAACAAATTTTCACTGAAAATAAACCAAAACCTTTTCATCGCTTATGCTGTCTCTAAGCCATGTTGAAGTCAACAAAACCTCCATTTCCATCCAAAACCAAATTTTCTCTATGGTTCCTTCGTTCATTCAATTCTTTGCTTTCACCTGGGTCACCTAAACAAATAGAAACCCATCCTTCCCATTCACATCAATATAACTGTCAAAAATACTTCCTTTTCTCATTCTTAAACGAAAACCCAACAAATCGAAGAGTCCCAAAGCAAGTTCATTCTCACTTACTCACAACTGCCTCTTTTTCCCAATCTGTTAGACTCTTCAATGCTTTACTTAGATGCTATTCTGTTTGTGAAAATCCCAAAGATGCCATCTTTCTTTACCAACAAGTCCAAACCTTCTACCTTTACTTAAAATTTGATAGCTTTACTTATGCTTTCCTTATTAAAGCTTGTGCTAGTTTAGCTGACCTAGCTTTAGGCAAACAGTTTCATGGGGTTGAAATAAAAATGGGTTTTGAGTCCCATCTTTATGTGCAAACCGTGCTGGTTAACATGTATGTAGAAAGTGGGGGGTTGATTGAGTGTAAGAAAGTGTTTGATGAAATGCCTGAGAAGAATCATGTTACTTGGAATGTGATGATCACTGGCTTGGCTAAGCAAGGAGATATCGAGATTGCACGTTTTTTGTTCGAAGGGATGCCCGATAGGAATATTGTTTCATGGAGTGGGATGATTGATGGATACACTAGGATGAACAGGCATAGGGAAGCTTTACGTTTGTTTCGAAGAATGGTTGCCGATGTTGGGGTTGATCCTAGTGAAATAACACTCTTAGCTATTTTGCCAGCTGTTTGGAACATTGGAGATGTCAAGATGTGCCAATTGATTCATTGTTATGGATTGAAAAGAGGGTTTCTTCTGTCCGACATTCGTGTCATGAATTCGCTTATAGACGCATATGCAAAATGCGGTTGCATAGTAAGTGCATCGAGGTTTTTCGAAGATATTTCAATGACTACTAGAAATTTGGTTTCATGGACATCATTGATATCAGGTTTTGCAATGCATGGGATGGGGAAAGAAGCTGTTGAGAGCTTTGAAAGGATGGAGCAAGATGGTTGGAAGCCAAATAGGGTCACTTTTGTGTGTGTTTTAAATGCTTGTAGCCATGGATGTCTGGTTGAGGAAGGGCTCAATTTTTTCGAAAAGATGGTTAATGAGTATCGAATCTCGCCTGACATTAAGCACTATGGGTGTTTGGTGGACATGTTGGGGAGGGCAGGGAGGTTGGAAGAAGCCGAACAGATTGCTCTACAGATTCCTTGTGAGATATCAAATGAAGTGGTTTGGAGAATACTGCTCGGTGCTTGTAGCTTTTACGGTAATGTCAAGATGGGTGAGAGGGTGACATCGAAGATAATGGAGACCGAGAAGAGATATGGAGGTGACTATGTTCTTATGTCGAATATCCTTGCGGGTGCCAGAAGGTTCGCAGATGCTGAGAGCTTGAGGACATTGATGGAGAAGAGGAATGCCATCAAAGTTGCTGGGTCTAGTGTGACCTGAGACCTTGGTGTCTAATACTCTAATGTGTAACCATAGTTGTTGATGATGATTCATCCCTTGTACTGCAGTTTCAGTTTCAACAAATTCATCTGTGAACTTGATTGGATGAGAAAACCGAACTTGTATTATATTATAAATGAACAAGTACAAAGGTCATTTTTTTTAGAAAAAAGGCATGTCTGAAATCCACCTTTAGTTTTGCAAAATCTTAGGTATAATACCACGTGTCAAAAGACTGACTAATTACATTTACATGCATCTCTTGACCAGCAAGAAAACCGGCCAACCCTTTTCCAATTACAAAAACATAATATATGGTTGGATTCAACTCAAGACAATATAGATGAACGGTTAAGGTCAATCGTTGGAGCTAAAAATAACCAAGAAAAAACTGGCAAAGCCTACAAAATAAAAGATAAAGGCAACCACTTCTAAAGAATAATACATACATAACACAGCAAAAACTCTTATTTTTATATTTAATTTTAGTTTGCTTTAGGAGTTAAAGGAACAGGGTTCAATTTTCAATCTGGGTTTTGGTTTTGGTTGATGGGAAACAAATAGACAAATCAAACAATGGCCAAGGTTTTGGGGAAAACAAGTATTTTATCAGCTTGTGACCATAGCCAGAAGAAGAATAAAAAAGGTGGAGGTTCTTTGTATTCTAGGAGAATTCCTGGGATTTGTTTTAAAGAAGATAGATTTACTTCCTTGAAGATGAAATCTATGGCTTTGAGGTGTGATTTTAATGGGCAAAGAGTGGTCTATTTGGAAAGGAAAATTGTGGACACGAGAAGGTTTCTTCAGGTTCCCCTTAAAGTACAGGTTGGTTTCAATAACTTTATTGTTTTTTTTTTCAGATCTTGAAAAGGCACGTCATTTATGAATATTGCTTCTTAATTTATATGATTTTTTTGAGTTTCTTGGTAATTAACGCGTTCTCTTATTAACCTTCTACAGTTCTTAGCTTAGTTTTTCACATGCCTATGAACAAACTTCAAATATTTAAATAAAAGTTTTGGTTTTTGCTCTTAAATAAATTATACTAAACTCTAACATATTTGGTAGTACATTTGGTTTATGATTAAACCTCCTTTCCCCCCATAATTTGATCTGTTGCAAAGATCAATAAACAAATAATAATTGGTTTCTCTTGTCTTCTGGTATTGTTTAGTTGAATCAAATACGAACTGGCCTTATTGGTAAAACTCCAAAGTGGTGGGAGACTGGACTGCAACCAAATATGAAAGAAGTGACATCTGCACAAGACCTTGTGGACGCTCTGTTCGATGCTGGTTATAAACTCGTTATACTAGATTTCTACTCCCCTGCTTGTGGTGGCTGCAAGGCTCTTTTTCCCAAGGTTGTAATAATGTAGACTCATAGACTTACATCATTTGTTTTATGTTGTATTTCTGGTGATTGCAGTGCTATTTTCCCCCAAGGTTATAATAATGTAGATTCGTAGTTTTGTATACTTTGTTTTGCATATTTGTACATCTCCATGTATTTGTGTTGCTCGTATTTCGATGAATTGTGACTCTGAATGTTGGGATCTGGTAGACTTGTCAATTGGCAAAGATGAACCCGGATTCGCAGTTTCTTCAGGTGAATTATGAGGAGCACAAATCCATGTGTTATAGCCTTAATGTCCATGTGCTGCCTTTCTTCCGATTCTATCGTGGAGCGCAGGGGCGTCTATGCCAGTTTAGCTGCACCAATGCGACGGTTAGTCTTGTACTCCCTCCCTTCTGATGCAAATTTTATCAGATACGTTTAGTGAATAGAATTGTAGAAAAGCACCTTATCTGTCAATTTATGCTCATTTTCCCACTATGATGCATTCCAATCAAATATATGGAACTTGAATTCCAATGGTGAAAATGAATAACTTGTTGGAAGAGTCACATTTATGAACTTGCTATGAGAATCAAAACTGATTTCGTCGCTTTCGCTTAGTTTTCAAGATTGTTGACAGATAGATCGCAGCTCAGCTGATGCAACTGGTTTCAAATCTCATTTGACATTGCCATAGTCTATGTTGTCGAATTTTTCACCATGTTTATCATGATATATGTTCCAATTACAATGGTCGAAATGATTCCACAGATCCAAAAGTTCAAGAATGCTTTGGCAAAGCACACAACAGATCAATGCAGCCTTGGGCCGGCAAAGGGTCTTGATGAGAAGGAGCTATTGGCATTAGCTGCCAACAAAGACCTTTCCTTTACCTACAAACCAAAACCAGTTCAACCCAATCCGTATCGTGTTCCTGCAAAGAAAGACATCCTGGTATCGAAAACATGCTTAAACCCGAAAGAGAGTGAGGGGAAAACCTTGGTTGGTGCTGGGGGATGATGTCAGGTTTCCTTTTGGCAGACCTCAAAGGTCTTCCCCACAGTTGCCATTGTAGTACAGAGTTCCATGTTCGTCTTCCATATACAAACATTTATGTTATAAATGGAAAACATAGTAGAGGTTGAAATGCCATTAATGGCAACTTGTCTCCTCCATGGAGTTGTAGGTTATGGATTTAATTTTTTGGATCCTAGCCCGCTTTTGGTTCAAGGGTGATTGAAGAGCAAGTAGCTGTGAATATGTTGATGTAAAAGATTACATTCATAATAATAAATATACTTATATATATTAATATGGTAATATAGAATGAAAGCCTTCTCCTTTTCTTCTTTCCTTTGTGTTTAGTGTTTGATGACAAAGGAATCCCCATGTCCTTCATTCCAGCAAGGAAACAAATGCCAGATTCGAAGCTAGTTTAGCATTACTGTTGAAAAAGATGTACGAGAAATATGTATTAATTCCATCAAAAGAAATATATCGAAAATAATAAAAGTTAAGAAATAACTGTTTTGAAGTTCAGGGCACAAAAATTGTCTGCAAATCGAAGATGAAGATGAAGGTAATCGTCCGGGAAGTTGTGGTGGATTACATTTTCTTAATCCTTCATTTGGAAGGCGTAAAAAAATGAAGAAGCTGCTTATAAAACGGGCGGGCTTGGAAGGCGGAAAGCATACCTTTCTCGATCTTTTTGGCTAAGATCAAGTGTAGTATCTGTTCTTATCAGTTTAATATCTGATACGTGGGTCATCGGCCCACATGATATTAAATTTTTTTTTTGAGGGGGAGGGACCACAACAATAGCTTGCTATTGGGTCTCTCGCGCGTCGCTCAAGCGTTGCACTTTAGCTCGAGCCTGGCGCACCCCACCCAATTGTAGTTCAATTTGTTTTCTGTTTTTCTACATGCCCACCATCGTGTCCTAACTAGTGCCTGCAACCGTTAATCCTTACTCTCCCGTAGATAGTAAGTGACTGGAAATTTCAAAAAAAAAAATCATTTACAAAATGTTTGTATAATAATAACAGATGGTTGAATCAATCTTTGTTATATTTATCTGAGACTCCGATCCATGGGAGGATCGAAGCCAATCCGACAGCTTTATCGGTAGTGATATTATGGAACCAATCGTTGAGGATGATGTTCCTATATTATAATCGAATGTAAAGTTCGGGATTTTCCATCAGGAAGACACACAATGATTGATTCATAAAACCCAAGCTTCTCTTTGCATTCCATAATGTGCATGATACAAGTATGTTCCGGGCTACATTGGAAAGCTCAAAATTCGAACTGTCGGTGTATAATTCAATACAGAAAAACCACGCAAGAACTTTTTTAAACCGATATGCGAAAGTGGTTCCAGGCAAGAGTCAGGACTGGGCTGTAAACATTCGAGAAACAGAGCTTTTAGAAATGTTGAGGGCAACTGGGTAATTTGAAGATTATAGTAAAAAATAAATAAATAAATAAATAAACCTGTCGAATTCCATGCCAGTGAATTGCAAGATTCTCTGTAAACAAATGTCGAGGGAAATTGGGTAATATGAAGATTCATTCTTTCTTGCAAGCAATCCTCTGGTGTTCTTTGGTCAGAGTCTAAAATTACTACAGAAACGCTCTGTTAACTGAGATAACAAAAGAATGAAGGGAACGTTTTCATAATGTTATTTTATTTCACACAATTTGTCTAGAAGATTACTACATAACAGAGAGAGAGAAAAGGAAAGAAACATGAACTTGAAAATGTTACATAACGAACAAAAACAAAACCGTATAAACACAAGAAAACATTAAGCACTGGGCTTTTTATGCTACAACAACAACCATAATGTTCCAATCCAAAAGAGGAGGGTCGAACTATGAATTCAGTTGTAAACTTTTTCATGCTTCTCTTTTACCGTCCTTAACAGAAAATCCGCCAGTGTCACCGCTGTTATCTCCGCCACCGTTCATCACAGCGAGAATGGTATTCATCATAGCTTTTTCATCAAGAGTTTGGGCAATCTTCCCATCGCCGTCTTTGTCAATTGCATCAATAAAGAGCATGAACTCATGAACCAGCTTTTGATTGGCGGCTTCATTGGTAACCATGTCCTGTTTCTTTCTCTTGAGCATTTCACACTCCTTAACCTTCTTCTGAAACTCAAGTTGGGCTGCACTTAGCAACTCCTTCATCCGCCTATTCTCCTCTCGTTTCCTTTCCAATTCAGCTTCCAGAGCCAAAACAATAATTGCATCTCGGAGATCCTGTTTTACCCCCCCAAAAAAAGTACAATATGTGGTATATACATTAACAGAATCAAAGGCCTAATTGTTGTTGTTGAATAAAATCCAAAAAGGGAAATTGAAATAGCAGAAAATATAAAATCTAACCATGGGAGCAGGACGCAAAGATTCGGAAATGGAAGACGGGAATGCTGAAAGAACCGGTGGTGTGAAGGGGTGAGTTGATTTTGATGTATATATAGAAATATAGAATGAAGAGAAGGGACGCCCCCGTCCATTTGACTGACTCAGCATAAGGGGCCTTTTTCTTCCAAAGTTCCTGACCGTATCACCTAATGAAAAACTTTAGGGTAAAATACATCTCATATCATTCAATTGTATGTTTGATAACATACGAGCTACATTTTTATAAACATTATAATTTAATCACTCAGTTAAAATACATAATAAATAAGACATTGATCTTTAAAACATTAGACGTAGGGATGGGCATGGGTCGGGTTTCGGCCAACCCGACCAATCCGAAAATTTTACATTCTTCTCCCGATCCGACCCGACCCAAAAATATATACCCTTCAGGCCTTCACCCGATTCGACCCCGACCTGAAATAATAAAAAATATTATTTTTATTCAATAAAAACAATGATTTAATTGAAAAAATAATATATAGAGGGGTATTGTTGTAATTATTCCTAGATATATAAGGTAAAAAAAATTCGGGATGGGTCATGTCGGTATTTTAACCCTAAACTCGAATCCGACCCGACCCGAACATCACCTTTAAAAAACCCGACCCGGACCCGAAATTAAAAAAAAAACCAGACCTAATCGGGTCGGGTCAGATTCGGTACCCATATTCATCCCTGATTAGATGTAACAATGATATGGACTGATATAATAACAATTTGAGTCTTTAAAGTTGTTCATTCTATTAATTTGGTCTTAATTCAAAATATTTCAAAAAAATTAACCCTTTATATTTAAAGATTTTATCAATTTAGTATTTATTCTTCTCTTATAAATGTTATATTATTTTGTTGGTATTATAAAAATTTAACAGTAACTTTGTTGATTTATGATAGAATATTATTATTCAACAGTTGTTATAATATGATAGATTCATTTAGTTTGATAATGTCGTAAAAATGATTAAGTTAATTAAAATAAATTAAATATGAATAGTTATATTTTAGGATCAAAATATTAAAAATATAAATTTTAATAACTAAATTTATTATTATATAAATTATATTAAATGTCTATATCAATTTTAATGGTAAAATAATTTATTTGTAAAACATTTTTATTTAGAGATTAAAGTATATATATTTTTAAAATTACCATTTGTTATCAATCGAATATATAATTGTGTGACATACATTATGTTTCTCAAAAAATTTCTTAAAATTTAATAAAATTATCAAAAAATAATTTGTAAATTAAAAAGTTAACAAAAAATAGTATAAATGAAATAATTTAAAAATATTAAAAATATTTTTAACAAAATTTTTAAAAAAGAATACCTAAGATGATTTAATTTTATTTTATTACGTGATTTTTTTAATTAATATGGGGATACATGTTAGCATCTGCTCAAAGATTTTTATAATTTTGATAATGAATATTAATATCTCTGTATACATGGTGCTCAACCCCAAACTTCTAAAAATAACAACGATTCTTTAACTATTAAGGTTACTTGATTCGTATTTTTATTACGTGATATTTTGTAAGGTTGTCTTGCGATATTTTTATTTATTCCACATCATTTTATAATTGAAATATCTAAGTTTAAAAATTCTAGTTTGAAAGCTGATTAACTAAATAAACATCGTTTTTATTACATTACGTCCCAAAGCATAAACCAATACAAAACTCAGCCTCTTGCTGATGTAATAAAGACCAACCTCACATTAGTCACTGCCAACTTGGATATTTCGCGGAATGAAAAATATAGTGTTTTCAATGTCAAAGAATTATATTGGCACGTAATCAATTCTTGAGCCTCTTTCTTATATCATTTCAACTGTAATATATTACATTTACACCCGTCAAAAAAATATACTGGCACGTAATCAATTTCTGTTTCAAAAACATAAATGTGCAGTATCTAAGTTTAATAATTTGAGAATCCATTTAGTAAATGCTCTCATTATGTTTTAGGTTCGAATAATTATATTTATAAAATATATTTTATTAATAATTAAAAAATTATAAATATATATTATCTTGTAATCATCTTAATTTATTAAAAAAAATTAATAAATTGAACTAGGCGAGCCAAAATAAACCAAAGCACCCGAAGATTGTACGTGGAAGCAAATTTCACCATGATAAGAAAAGCAAGTACCAAGGATTATGAAATATATTTGATTTCAAATATGAATCTACAGCCTTTACCTCTATGTTTTGGCTCTCAATACAGGCCAACAACACTGGAATTGATATGTGATGTGTATATAGAAAGGATAAACAGGGTGATGAGTTGACAAATTAAGTTTTTGGATTACAGCCCACTTTCCATATTGTTGATGGCGTGGAGCAGCCGGAATGGTCCATAAACAGTTCTTTCCCTAGTCCCTGCAGAAAATTCTAAAATCAGGCCTTTGAATTTTCACGAAGGAAAGTTTTACTATTACTATCCAATTTATTTTCTTATTTATGTATTTCCGACTAACTGAATTTATTTCAAAATTATTATGTTGTTCTGTTTTTCATTATGGAAATCCACCAAAGCATTTGAGAGAGAGAAAAAACAAAAACAAAGAAACATCAGCATCAATCAAACATGCTCCAAACACAGCTGGATTTTGTTAAAAAAACACATCTGGGTCTTTTTCATGGAGCATCCAACTTTGGGTATGATGGCGATTTTCCAAGGACAGATCCCAAAGCTGTGGCCTGTAAACACATACACATCAGGTAGATCCCATTTTTGTCAACAATCTTTTATCATTGTAGTTAAGATCCATGTGGCTTCATCTTTTCGACGGTCATCTAGATTGAATGTTTTATTGTTGTTGTGGACGTTGGCAGATAAAAACTGTACATCAAAATTAGGGGTAGTTGAAGTTAACTTGAATGAATATGATTATGTTAGTATTTGTTTGTTTGTTTTTTAAAGTGTTTATATTTAATTTATGTTTCTTTAAGTTTTTAATATCATATTTGTGTTTGTTTATTATTTTTAAAAGTGTTCGTGTTCTTTTATTTATTGTTCGTGAACGTGTTCGTTAATATATTTACGAACATGTTCATTTAACGTTCACAAACATGATTGTTTAATGTTTGTTTATCAATTGGTTATATATTCAATTTTTAGTTTTATCTAAACTAAATAAAAATGATAAAACTACGCCAATAGTGCTTAAACTTCTTAAAATTCATGGTTTAAATTTTAATTATTACCATGTGTTCAATTTAATCCTTACCTTCACCAATTTTTAAAAATGTAAAAAAATAAAAGGAAAAGGAGAACCAAGTAAACAAGCTTGTTCATGAAAATAAATGAACGAGTCGATAAACGAGTTTGTTGATAAACATAAATGAATCAAACACACATTTATCCGTGTTCGTTCGTTTATTAAATGAACATAAAAAAATTTGTTCATACCCATTTATTTAACTTAATAAACGAACATAAATGAATATTGTACGAACGTGTCACCAACAATTCATCGAACTCTGTTCATTTACACCCCTAATCAAAACAAGTGATAGACATTGCAAACAAGTATCGAAGAAGGACAAACAGTACTTCAAAGATGAAGTTTGTCAAATGTTTAAAAGTAAACACTTCATAAGCAGCACATCAAGAAAAACACTCTCCATACTAAGACCTTCTTTTGCCGATGAACCTCCCGTTCATTCCTTGTATATATTATAAGGGAGGTGTGTGAATTGGTGGTGAAATTCGGCAGTCGGTAAAGAAATAGGTCAAGCAATTGCTTTATTTCGTCGCCTTAAAGATGTTCTTAATTACTCTCTTCCTCATGATTCTGCTTCTAGCCTTGTCAAAGAAATTACATCAGAAGAAATCAAAGATTATTGTCAAAAGACTGTCAAACCTCATCTCTGGAATGGTTTCTCTTAATCAAACTGCCTTCATTAAAGGTAGAAGCATTGTTGACAACACACTTATGGCTCAAGAAGTGGTTAAAGGTTATGGGAGAAAAACATATCCCCTATATATACAATGAAAATTGACCTTCAAAAAGTTTTTGACACACTACATTGGAACTTTATCATTGTTGTCTTGAAAGCTTTAGATCTCCTAGATAAATTCATTGGATGGATTGAAGTATGTTTCACTGAACCAATATACTCAATATCTTTTAATGGTACTTTGATTGGGTTCTTCAAAGGTGCAAGAGGAATTAGACAAGGTGACGAAGTTTTTCCCAAAAAATCACCGGTGATTGGTATATTTACCGATCTAACACCGGTCAGATTATATTTCCCGATCTAACACCCGTAGTAGTAAAGCGCACCCCCTGCCCAGCGCTATATGCTGATTTGGCGCCACGTGGGGTATAGCGCGCCCCCTACCCCGTGCTATACGCTGACATGGGTTACACGTGGGTATAGTGCGACCCCTGATCCTCGCTATACGCCACGTAGGGGTATAACGCGGATCAGGGGCCGCGCTATACCTGGTTATCTGACACATGGGGTATAGCGCGATACAAGGGGCGCGATATACCTTTAATTACCCACCCGTTCACACCCCAATCCTCCCTATAAATACCCTCATCCTCAATCACTTTTATCACACCAAATTCTCTCAAATTCTCTCAAATACTCTCTCTGTTTAAGGTATATTTTTAATATTATGTATTTAATTTATTTAAGTATTTTACTTTATTTAATATTTTACTAATATAATTCTTTTACAGATATATAATGGAAGGCAGTCTACTTCGCTTGGATGGAAATCATATATCTCGACACTTTGCTGATACAGTAACATTTTAACGTTTTAATTTAATTTAAATTATTAGTAATAATTAGTTGATTTATTTAATGCATGATTATTCGATTAAGAATTAATTTTTTTAATTATTTATTTTTAGGAGAAGGACCGTGTATTAGATCATTTTATTAAGAATCTTAAGTTAGTGATACCTAGTCGTGTCTTGCCGTATTTAGTAGAGGCTTGATTTGGTTACATAGGTAGATATCAGGGTCACTGTAAGATAGAACCAGACCTTATTTCTGCCTTAGTA